CCATTAGAGATGCAACAATTGGGGCACTAATCAAGAGTCAAGGAATTCTTGTTATTGCTACATAACAAGTAAGGTAATGTTCTAACCCTATTTTATGTCAATTTTCGAAATCGCATACTAGTCCATAGGGTTATTGCTTTGGAGTGTGTATTTGCATGTTCAATAGAGAAAAACCTACATCCAAAGCATTAGGGTTGCATGTACACCATAGGAATGTTGTAGTGCTCAAATCCCATCAGTGGTATCAGAGACTAGGATGTTTTTCAATTGAATTGCAAAAGTGGATTGCCAAAAGAATAAGAAATCGACGAGTTGGGTATCAAACTCGACGAGTTGTATGAACTCGACGACTTCACTTGGCAACTCGACGAGATGACTTGTCTGGTGCCGGATTTTTTGATTTATTGGTCAGATTTTGATTTGGATTATTACCATAACTTGTTTTTAATGCCTAAAATCAATTTTCTAATATGGTAATGAATATCCTCATCTAATTGAAGGATAATTGTCAGATTTTAAGATAATTACAAGATTATGTGATAAATTAGTTATTTGTAAAATTTTATTTGAATTATCTTACCAAATAAAAAGGGATTAGGTCAAATTTTGATAAAGATAAAATTATATGATTATTTTAATTATTTTAAATTTGATCTAGAAATTTTGAAAAGTTTCAAATTTTACCCTTATGTTTTGGAATTTAAAATTTAATTAAAAGTTTTAATTTTGAAATATTAAATTCTTAAACCCTAGTATTTTGAAAAAGTTTCAAAAGTGCACCTCATGGTTTTGTAATTTAAAATTTGATTAAATAGCTTTAATTTTGAAATCTTAAATTTAGAACCTTGATATTTTGAATAGTTCAAATTACACCCTTATGGATTTTATTAAATTAATTAAGTGTTTAATTAAAAGAGAGAATTAATAAATCCATAATTATATGGTTTAAATTTAATTAAATTAAAAGTCTAATTTATTAATAGATTAAACCACCTAGTATTTTAAATGTGTAAAATACACCCTTATACTATATAAAATTAAAAGTCTAATATATTATATGTATAAGTAAAAGGTCAACCTTACCGTTAGTAGGCATCATTTATGAAGTTAGTCTATAAGGGGTATAAGAAATATGCCTATAAAATGGCGCTTGAATGTGTGTCTACTCTTACCCTCCGCTTCCTTGACTAGTGGAGGGTCCTTAGCCGAACGGACAGGATAGGACACAAACTCTCATTAATAAGTATAATAAAATACAAAGTAACTAAACGATTTTATAAATTCCCAACTCTTAGTTACTTTAGGAATAATATGAATTTGATGTTTACCCATGAAATTGCACATTACACCTTATTGGTCGTTAGTTGAGCGTGTGTGGTTAACCGACACACTAATACAGGACTAATGAAGGATGACAATGGGTAGCTCGTTGATTATTATAGATCGATGGAGCGTGTGTGGCTAACCGACACCTTAATTAGATGATAAATGACTTCGAGAGTACCAAGCGAATTTGCATGGTTATTCACAACTTGTTTGTGATCCTCAGGATCCCAGTCACAAACTTGAAGGGCATAATCGAGATTAAACATGCCATTGAAAAAGTTCAATGAATCTCAAAAGATCTAGGAGTTTAATTTCTAATTCGTTTAAAATTTCATTTTCGTGGTGGAATTGGTAAATCATCATTTACCCACCGGCAAATAATTTTCAATTGGATTACGGTATCCCTCTTCTGTTTGTGAATTATTGTGTTGGGTCCTAGCCTTAATATCTCTTTTTGGTGTTATATTAAGGATTGAATCAACTAACTTGAATTTCACCTGTTTGTAGACGTCTAGTTCTAACAACTATGGTCTTCCCACATCTTTTGGAAAAATATTTCCTCATGAAGATAATGTTCCACATTTTGATCGAGGAACTTGAAATCATACTTTAATTCCTCCACTTCCTCCAATAGTTCTCCCTGACCCGCGTGTTCATCAACTTGAAAATTTCAAGGTCACTAAAGCCCTATTGGTAAGAAAACACGAAGATGGAAAGTTTGTATGTGCTCATGTCTTGGAGATGAAGTTGCATATTAATAGGTTGGGAATGTTGGGTGTCGTTGTCTCGAGGAAGCTGGATGTTGACTTGGTTCTTCAATCACTTCCTGAGTCATATAGTGCGTTCGTTAAAGATTACTATAATAGACCATGACGTGACCCTCATTGATCTAACATATTTTCTAATTGCTACTGAATCAACAATGATTTGGCACACTGGTAAAGAAAATTCGATGGAAGATCAATCTCCCAAACTTCCATGGACATTAAAAATGGCAACAAAGGATGTCCGGAAAAGCTTTCTCTACCCAATGGAAAGGGATCGGCCAAGGTCAAACCGTTTGGCCAAATGGTAAAGAGAAAGGCTGAGTCTGAGATAGTCGCATGTACCATATCAAAAGAGTCTGTTTGTTTTTATTACCAAGAGAAGGTGCATTGGATGCGAAGCTGTCGTATCTACCTGAAGGAATTTGGGTGGGTCCATTGATGGATTTTGGGAGACTCACGAATCAATTGGTTTGGATGAAGTGAACAGTTAAGGGTGGTTGGGAGTATCAGTCATGCATTAGAAAGTCTTTGTGGAGTGTTGCATTATATATCTCGTTGGTTCACAAGCTGTTATTAGGGGTTTGGATATCAAGGTTGGGTATCGATTATGAAG